ACTTTGGGCAGGTACCAGCGGTACCAGCGGGGCAAATAGCACTTATATGAAATTATGAATTGAAGTTGCATTTTCTCACTACATGAGAGTATTTGTTGAGCTAATCATCTATTACTACCACCTTTCTTTTCCCTTTCCCAACTGATTTATCCTTCTTAGCAGTCTGAATATGATCTTTCCACTTGGCCAACACCCCTTCCTTTATCATCCCATTCTTTGAGTAGAAGGCAACGGCCATCCCCCTACTTAGTGACTGAGCAGAGAGACGGTGCCTCTTTAATGACACATAATCACACCCAAAGCTAAATGCCCTTTCAACATCAACAGATGTGGCTGCAAAAAATTGTTCAAGAAAGATTACTAGTCAGTTTGTGCAAGGAAAAGGTTCCAGAAAGGACTACTAACCTGGGCAACTCAACACATCTAATGCCATTTGAAGCAATCCCCCGTGTGTGTCCCCTGATTTCTTTTGTTGCAACCACCACTTCAGTGGATTGACTGGCTTGTTGTTGTTCAGTATGAGCCCCCCTCAAAGCCAAATGTCCAAAGGGTCAGTTGATGAGTGGCCTCCTCGGGCTGCGGCTGCACTACCCAAGCCAGCAAGCATTCCAGTCTTTGGCTGCAGTGACATATATTTTAGATTAAGTTAGTATGAGAAAAACAAGACAATAGTGAGGCTGGATTGATTTGGCTTACCTTGTTAGCAACAACTGCTGATGAGGTGGGAGGAGTAATTGGCTTGGGCTTATAATTAGCAACCCACATCTCCCGGGTGAGCCGTATTGCTTCAGATATCCATTTGGGTTCCCAGTTAGCAAGTTTAAAGTACTCGTCGTGAAAAGATGGGTGAAGAACTGACAAGTGTGTTAGTGAAGGAAATTCTACTTCAATAAACTATGAGACTAACATACCAATTGCAATCCTATAGAGAGGGGACATATCCGTCAAGCTATAATACTTGTTGGTTAGTTTCAAGCCAACTCGACAAGCATTGCGCAATGCTGGTGGATACTTTGTCCCACTGATGGCGGTTGATAAGTGTTCAGTAATTTGATCGATGAATATGACAATGTTGGACAAGCGAGCCGAGCCAGGGATCGAGATCTGGAGGGTTATTTCATAGAATATATTCATTACCTCTGCCAGGTGGCGTGCTAAGTTGAAGTCTGATTGATCAAGGTAGTACTTCCGGTCAACACCGTGTCGTTTATGTCTCTGCCATTCAAGGCTGGGGTTGAAACCAACCATCAGATCATCAGCTCAAGGAAGATTCCATGTAAATGTGAGGAGAACTCACATGGCATCCTCACATCTGATTATGCTGATGAGTTGGGAGTGGGTTGAGTTCCATCGTGTACGGACATCTCGTTCAATCGTATGAGGAGTTGCACATCCCTTATCACGACAAATCTGACGAAACTGGTCCTTTGAATTGGGGGAGTACCTTAACTTTTTAGCAATGGCACGAAACTGGATTGAATGATCAGACAAGAGTGTCATTTTGAAGTAGAATGATTGAAAATGAGTCTATGAGAGACACCTACTTTTGCCAAGGTTTGCTTGCAACCCTCTGTTGTATATGCGTCCGAGTCATCCTCATCACTAGCGTTTTCAATGTCATCAAGACTGAGCGACTCAGTTTCCTCCTGGTCATTTTGAGCAATTGACTCATTGTCGCTTTCATCAACATCTTCATGGAATAATGATGATTCATCGGCGCCTTGAGAATACCTTGATTGTGAATAAGAAATGCATGAGAATATGAATATAAAGTAATGATGCAAAGAAAGAGAGTCGGACTTACAGTTGTATTTGTTCCTCTGCATCTTCTTCTTCATCTCCAGAGCCCAAATCTTCTGAGTCATCCAGAGGAACTGATCCTGATTGGTTTGTTGTCTTTGATTTCTTTTGACTTCCAAACGGCCGGAGGATGGCTTGAGCTATCAAGTTCAGCACATGGGCAAAACACCGTATCCAATGCGTCTCGCCTTTGAACCGCGCCCACTTCTTCTTCTTCAGTTCACTAACCATCACCTTGTTGTTGGAAGCATTGTCACTGACAATCCCACATATCTAAATAGAAAAAATCAAAATCAAAATCAAAATTGTTAGTCAACCGGTTAGTAATAGATAAAATATGAGCCACTGGACAGGGCAATACAGACCTTGTCTTGAATCCCAAACTTTTCCACAACCAAGCTAACCGTCTGCGCCAAATATTCACCGGTGTGACTGTGAGCAAGCCAAATGAAGTCGAGAGGCATTGCCTCAAGCTTTATTTCCCCAGAGTCGTCCTTGGCTAATCGGTAGACCACAGTGCCCAGGATGTCAAATCCATTAGGTGACTGCCAGGCGTCAACACCCAAGTACAATGAACCTGTGTGTGCCTATAAATTAGGAGTTTGAGATCAATAAGATCAATCAGGAAATTTGGATTGAAGAAGGGGGTCTTAATGATGTAAGGAGAAGCACACACCTTGAGAATTACCTTATACTCCTCTTGTATTGCAGAGTATAACATGTGGATATCTCTTGAGATTGTTCTTCTTCCTGGTAAAGACTTCTTGATTGTTGGATGAAGCAGGACCTTATGGCTCTCCTCAACTAGAGCAGAAAAAGGCCTTGCGGCCTCGGCACACCATACCGCACAGAGTTGATTAACCTGAAGATCAGAACTCATCAAACATCAGCAGAGGTTCATCTATTTTTGAATCAGAATATGTTTGACTTACCTCTTGGGGATTGATGTCTCCAGTCCCTTTGATACCAAGTCCAGCAAGAGATTTGTGACCCTTGGATTCATTTTGCTTCCGGAGGCATGTTGCTGCATGCTTGTTAAGGTTACTACATGACGAGTCCGAGGTTGGACGATTAATCCTAGAGCCACATCTGATGATTGATGTCAATATTGATGTCAGCTGGGATCAAACAAGCGACATAAACAACACAATGAAGCAAGACAGACAATGATGAACTCACATTTTGCAAGGATAGGAGATCATCCTCCTTCCATGCTTGTCTCGTTGGTCTGAGAGCTTGGGTGCGAAATAAAACTTGCAGGCCATGCTGAGGGCGTTCTCTGCGACTCGGCGCGCTTTTTCTGGAATCGAAAGTGGCTAGTTAGCAACATATAGCATTATATACAGTTATGACTTAAAAATAGAAAAGAGAAAACTACTTACTCAACTCTTGAATGTCATTCGCTTCGTGACTGAGATCAGTTGAGGGT